CGCTTCTTGTGTTCTTTACGTTGTCGCCTAGTAACATTCTTAAGACATTTTATGCAGTGCAATGTTGTTTTAACTATTTTTATTTCTTTGCGCTATAGTGAACAATGCTTATCCGAAGCGTATCGGCTCCATAGCTGATATTGACCCTGCTAACGGCATTTATAGCTCCTTGGCCGGTGAAACGGCATCGCATCACCAATTGCATCAGCAACAACAACAACAGCAACAGCAACTATTACATCAACAGCAGCAGCAACAAAGGGCGCTTCAGCAGCAGCAGCAACAACAACAGTATTATCAACAAATGATGCAACAACAACAATCGAAGTCAAATCTGGTAAGTTTATAACGAATTCAAATCGATTTGAGTCAAGTCATGGAGTTCTAAGAACCAGACTAGTTAATTCAGATATTTGCATTCGTTGAGGGTATTTTGTAAATATTAGTTAAGAAAGAAAATATTTTATTTATTATTTTTTAAATCAATCACTTATGTGATTTAGTGTTCTAAATAAAGCTTCCTCCGTAGTGAAATTTATACCTGTTCGACTAAGAAATACGCATTCATATTTTTTCCTAGAGAGAGTGAGTTTTTAAAACTATGCGATTCTTTAATTTATCCCCCATTGTGCAATTAGAAAGCTTTAAACTTATTTCGATAACTCATTTTCAAATCTGAATAAAGTTGAATCTTGTTAATTAATAAATTTTTTTTTAACTATCTACCACGCTTACCAAGGAAACATTGATCTAATTAGCAAATCTAATTTAAATTCTAAAAGCTTTTGCTTGCAATTTTAGGTGAGCAAATAACCCTCGTAGCTCTAGCAAATTATATAGATAAAAGTTGCTTCCAAACATAGTAAAATAGCACTCTCGAATTTTAAGTTTTAACGAAAATTGTCAAATCGTTCTTGAGGGATCTATTGAAAACTTCTTTATTAAACCGATTTTTTTTTTAAACAGACTGTATCAAAAGTCTGCTAGAACTAACCTATAATATTTTCAATAGCATGTAGAAGGTTATTTCGTCTAATAGAAACTGAAAAATATAAAATTGTTTTCAACTAAATAATATTTTTTTTTATATTTTCCTTTGCCAGCGTGTCTATCGTGCACTGTACGACTATGAGGCCCAAGACACCGATGAAGTGAGCTTCCGCGAGGGCGACGTTATCTTTGAGGTGGAGTCAGCCGATTCCGGTTGGATGACCGGACGCGTTGAACGTACTGGCAAGACCGGAATGCTGCCCGCCAACTATGTGGAACAAGCCGTTATATAATAGGGAATGTTATATTATTGTTGTTGTCATCATCAATTTGTTGTAATACTAATTTGTATCCTTTATTTGGTAGTCGTCTTAATATTCTTCATTAACATATTTATAGCTGATAGCAATAATGATTATGATGCAGATCATTTAAAGCATTTCGATGATGATAACTATCACAGCCACAATCACCACCACCACAATCATTATCATGAGCCACACAGCCCTAGGGACATGAAATCCACTAATCCACAAAAGCCAAGCAATCAGCCACAAGTCGAGACTGATTTCTATTATTATTTCAATCACGTCTTTTGATTTACATTCGATATCTATATCGCCAAACGAATTTCTCTTACACCCAATACATACATATATACTCGTACATACATGTGTGTGCGTATGTATGTATAATGGTGTACAATTAGGATTGCTCTACTTTCTAACAGCGAAAGTGCATTATGATGGTCCCTAGGATGCATTCGGCTGAACTTATTCAATAATTAATAAAATGCTCCAAACGGGAGTTAAAGCAAGACGATTGATGTGAGAGTAGTAGGATAAATGAAAATGCAAAGCGTCGCAACTACGCAATTATTGTTGTTAAAAACAAACAAAATGATTAAGAAAAGCAAAAAACATAAACTAAACTAAACACTTTTATTTAAAAAAAAAAACCAATAACACAACCAACTTGAATTGAAAGGAATTTGCAGATGATAATGTTTGTTATATCACAACTTAGATATATACGTTTACATATATTATAAATATACATACATACATATATTATATAAAATTTATATAGTACGTATATACACAAACAAAATACAATAAACACTGGCATACAATGTAATTAAATTTAATTAGTAAAGAAATAAAAAAAATCTTTCAATAAAAATCACAAACCGAATGCAAAAACGAAATAAACGAAATTACTATTACGATTACGAGCCCTTCATATGCTTATGGTTGAATTTAAGCAATCTAAGAGGATTAGTGACGAGTTTTTACAACGCGACGAGTTCATAAAAATTATATTTTTTGGGTTTATTTGACTTTCTGATTTGCAAAAACGCTTGCAACCGTTTCTCCGTTAATCCTGCCAACAAATTTATTGTTAGTTATACTCGTATGGTAGTTTTATAGTTTTGTAAATGCAGGAAAATTCTTAAATCTTAATCTCTTATTTTTGTGGTTTCCTTTGTTTTTCTTAAATTGACTTCGATTGGCTGCAACAAATCATCGTGAATTAAATATGATAATGAATTTGAAACAATAAGCATCGTGAATTAAATATATTATACCCGCCACAATTGATACAGTGTGATATATTTATTTGATAATACATATTTTTCACAATTCGTAGACATGTCTCTTTGTCTGGATTTTCTTTCAATTACCATTTTTGCTTTTAATAAAAAAAAGCAAACTAAATGAATAAAAATTTATAATTTTTTTTATATTTTTTATATATTATATTATATAAGTAATTTTTTTCACATTTTTGTATAATTTTTAATAACATATGAACGCTATTTTTTAAACATCATTTCCGAAAGTAAATCCTACATTTTTATATTTTTAGCGCACTGTATTCATTGTGATACAAGGTTAATATTAGTATAATATATAAAAAATAGTACTGAAAGTCTGAACATCGGAAATCGGATAATGAAATAAAGCACATATACATATATAGGTATTTAAGAATGGGCTTAAAAAGTGGTTTTACATAAAGCATGAAAAATCTGTGGTTTGAAAAATTTTTTTACTAGCTTTCAGTAGCCTAAAATAAAAAGTTCTGAGTTTAACATTAATGTGAATATTTCGCCTATCCCTAATTTTTTCATATTTTGCAATGAAGTGCAATTGTTTGCGGTGTATACCTATACGGCTTTAAAATTTCGGATAAAAAAAGATTTAAGATTTGAAATCAAAACTTTCGAGCACAATTCCATATGGAGCAACAACATTTAGCACTTCCGATTTTGTCGCAGGCTTGACCCAGACTTCGGAACTTGAACACTGCCGTTAGAAACACAACTCCGTTCTTTTATTATAATTTTATGATTTATATATTAATTTCAATATTATTTCTGCTTCAATAATGTTCAGGATGCTTTTGTCATTTAAGAGAGGTTTTAAATAAAGATCATTGTGTAGAAACATTCAACTTTATAAATTCAAGAAGTGTATGTGTTTTGTTAACGATTTTCGAAGATTGCAAAAATTAAATATTTATAAAAAAAGAAATATGGCTCGTATGTGCCAGAAATTAGGAGCATATAGCTGTAAAACAGATAAAAGCATTTAAATGAATGATATTCGTACGCATTTGCATTACTGACTCGATACTCTTAACACTTAGGATAGCCAATAAATATGTATACATACATATATAATTATATAATTCTATAGATTTCAACTAAATTTTGCCCAATAAATGAAATGTGGCGCGAAACAATTTAAATAGAATATCAACCAACTGCTTTTTATACTCGAAAACAATAACGATTATTGAATAATTAACCGGTTATCATGTGATGCCTCTAGTGAAGCCCATTGGACTGAGTATTTACAGATTTACCTAGCTATTCCTGTGTTTTTAATAAAACTTAATAAATCATTAGACAATTTTGATAGCATCGAAAGCGTATACGGTACTAATTTATGATAGATAGGACTAATTCTTACAACAAAAACAAAAAAAAAAAAATTGAAAGGATATGATTACTATCAATTAAATCCCTAAAGTGCCTTTTATTTGCAGCAACCTTAAATATTGCTTAACTACACGTAGTCATTCATACATAAATACATACATACATATACTCGTATGCATTAATCATTGCTTGAATACGTACATAAATATACTCGCATAATTAGTAAATAATAGTGACCGTAATTTCATGAAATACATAAAATACAGGACTATCGACTATATTAGCGCAACATATTTTGGAAATATTCAAAAAGCATAAAATGTTGAATTTAGTTTTGGTGTAATTTATTCGAATACTTTTCATTTTGATTAAAAATGTGTGTATATTTGTTTATTTCGTATAATTAAATATAAAATTGCTAAATTTTTTAAATCATACATTTTTTTTTAACCTGGCCCCATTATTAAATAACTTTACATTTAAAAAAATCCTTTTTCAATACCGAAATTTCAATACGTTGTTTTGTCATATAAATTAAAAGTTATAAACAAGTGTTTGTAAATATCGATTGAAGATATGTATAAAATTATTTTTTTTTTAATCTTCAAACCTCATAGTTTCGAAACGATTGTTAAAAATATAAATTAATAAAAAACACGACAGTATTTTTTAAGTCAAGTAATAGCAAAAATAGTTTACAAAATCGTTTAGTCTCGTCTTAGTCTTTCTGAAAAAAATATATACGATTAACTATCAAAGAATAAACAAACCGTACATCCTAAAAGTATGGTAAAAGCATAACGCAAAAACGAACTATTAAATACTACACTAAATATTTTCAAACAGTGAGATTTTCACTTTCCAAAAACTACGAAAAGTATTCAACTAAAGATCACACACGTTACACTTGGTAAATTCATATATGTAACATTAAATGTAACTGAGTTAAATCATATAAAACTTCGAAAACGAAGATCGAAACAATATCGAATAAATAATAGTAAATTTTCCAATCGTAGGGTGAATACAAATAATTGAAATAGCAATAAAACATAAATAAAAATAAGTTCAATAAAACTTGAAATAATTGTTTTATTTATTCAAATGCAGTCTTTACTAGTAATTTGAATGTGAATATATTCTAAGAAAGCATTGCGAATATTTGCATAAAAAGCGGTAATCACTGCAAGGAACAGCAAATCTCTCTGAATTACAGTAGCATCATGATCAAAATTTCACGCAATTTCAAGTCGGAGTTTTGGTAAGAGATTTTTGCATAAACTAACTCCATTCAAGCCAAATCGATATTTTTATACTCCTCACTTGCTGGAAGCTACACCGAAGTGCCGGTGCTAATCTCTACGGACAACGAAGCATTACTACGATTACCCAATATTGTATCGAGCACAACACCTTTGGAGCTGTTGATAATCTCTGCAAAAGTCCGCGCGTCATTTTCCTTTTCCGCCTGCAGATGCGCCACCTTCTCACTCATGTATGCTAACTTTTCCTGAGCATATTCGAGCCTAATCATAGAGGGATGGAGAGGACTTTTATTCAGTAATCACAATCAATTTTAGACTATTTGCTTACTCATGCTTCATTTGGTACACCTGCGCCGGTGTGAATTCATCGATCGCCCTTTGCGACAAATTATTCTGCGAGGTATTCTCAAAAACGAACGTGCCCATAGAAGCGGTTGAATTCACACTGCTCACATAGTCCGCAATGCGTTGCGAGCGCTTTTTCCGTTCGGATTGCAGTTCAAGCTCCTTCTCCAGCTCACGTATACGCGCTTCCATGCGTGAAAGACGCACCTTCTGTTTGGCCAGCTGTTCATGCAATGCGTCGTTCTTTAAACGATCCTGCTCGCTGCGTTCAACGAGTGTTTTATTATGTTTAAGCAGTTCATTCTTCTCGGCTTCCAAGGAGTCTAGTATAGTTATGAATTCTTCCTGTAAGAAGGTAACATCAATTATAGCGGAACTCACGACTCATTGCATTTTTTCACCTTGCGTAGTTCCCGACATGAGAACAGAAAACCACCTGACAAGGCTTTCAGATCAGTTTCCAAACGCGTTATTGTCTGATTCAAGTCCTCGATGTGAGTTTCTTTGCTTTGAATCAAATTTTCCATGTTTTCCAATTTCAGTCTCAATTCCTCTTCACGAAAGGCGCCGTCCTTATGTATGCGCTTCAGGTCGTTTAGTTGTCTCGCCATCTCTTCCAAACGGCTTTCATAGTGGTAGCGTTGCACATTCATTTTCTCGTTCATATTCGCCAGATTCAAGCCGTTATAATCGGTTTGTTCTTCCAGAGAACTCGCTTTTACTTTGAACTTCAAGACTTCGTCATTGAGGGTTTTGTTTCGCACTTTGAGTGCCAACACCTTGCCTCGTTGCTCTTCTAGTTGTGCCTTAAGTGAAGCGATCTCTTTCTCTAGACCCTCCACTTTGGCTCGGTGCAATATCTCGGTTTTTCGCACGACTGTGTTGTAGCGATCGAAAGAGGTGGCGCTTATATTCGGCGCAACGTTTGGTTCCGCGTGACCAACCGCCGAACGTGCACCGCTCTTTGCTGTCTGTGACCCCGTCAAATTCCCATGTGTGACGTCATCGGTGGCAAAGGTGATGGGACTACCCTCCGCGTACTGCCTGTCTATGATTTCTAGGCGTTCTTTTAATTCGTGAACTTTCTGCTGTAGATGTATGATTTGCTGAGCGCGTCCACGCCAATTAGAGTTCTGTGCCTGTGACGCCATTGTAGCCAAGTTAAAGTTCTCTCCGATTTCCTGCTGCAAACACTTTTGTGCAAGTTTCAATTGGTTCTGTAACTCTGTATTTTTATTGCGTGTCTCGAAAAGCTTCTGCTGAATAGAGTTTAACTTAACGCGCAGTTCATCCGACGGCTCCTAAAAGAAACAAGCTTGTGAGTATTTGCAGTCAAAGAAGGTCTATAAACACCTTTGGCGTTTCGGTGGTTCCTTTGTGCAGCTTATCCTCGAGAAGCTTTAAGTCTCGCTCCAGCTTTTGGATTTGCAACTCTTTTTTGTTAACTTTGTTCTTGGTGGTTTCCAATTCGGCTCGCAACAATCGATTTTTCTTGCTTAACTCTAATAATTTGGAACTCGCTATGGACGAATTACAACGTAATTCATCGATAGGCACCGAGTTGAGAACCTCATTTAGCGATTGGATTGATCGCTTCAAATCTGTTATCTCGACATTTTTTGCGTTGATAGCTTTGCTTAGATTTTGGTTCTCTTCCGACAACAGGACCACTTTTTGTTTTAGATGTATCTTATTTCCCTTTTTGCCGACACCTCCATTGCTAAGGTCATCATTGCCGGCCACAGCGTCTTCAATAATCTTCGCCAACTTCTCCTTTGACCGACGCTTGGCCTTGGGCGTCTCAGTGAATGTCGCTTGATCTATTTTCTGTATAACATCCATTTCATATAAAATATATATACCTGTATTTATCTAAATATTTATAGAAAATTAGCTACAAATAAAAAAATATATTGCTTATATAATTGTATAGCGTAATAGGAAATATATGCGGGTTTCCTGATCGAAAACAAAAAAAGTTGGAAGTTTTTCTTTAAAATTTAAATTTATCTGTCACTCACTATCGTTAATGACTTGAACGGAAATGTCAGCGATGCCAACAATTGGAAAATACTAACAAATAATTTTGTCAAAGTGGATGATTACATCACTATCCAACAGATAGCGCAGTATGCTTCTACGATGGCCAATAGGTAGCGCTGAATACATTTAATTCAAAGATACCAATCGCAAGTTATTTATAAATAGGTAATGTTCTATACGCATTTTTATGAAATAATTATTTCGATAGATAAACAAATATACAACACTTTTACCAAACTTTTCAAGTAGAGAAAAACAATATACAAATATATGATTGTAACAATATTTGAGGTAATTTTTAAAAATGTGTGCAACCCTGTCAGGGGTTGACGTGTAATGTAAACTGTCAGATATCATTTTGCCGACGAAAATAATCAAAACTACAATGGAAGGTTTTATGATGGTAAATTTTTTAAAAAATGGAAAAGTTTAAGTGATAAATAAACGTTTTCTAATAATAGGAGCCCACACTTAACATAATCAAAGGCATGTGCATCATGGACAATGATGGCAATCGCATATTGGCCAAGTACTACGACAAGAATGTGTTGCCCACAGTGAAGGAGCAGAAGGCTTTCGAAAAGAACCTATTCAGCAAAACACATCGATCCAATACAGAAATTATCATGTTGGATGGCCTTACCTGCGTCTACAAAAGTAACGTAGATTTATTTTTCTATGTGATGGGCAGTGCTTATGAGAATGAGTTGATTCTACTGTCTGTATTGAATTGCTTATACGATTCGATAAGCTTAATTCTGAAGAAGAATGTGGAAAAGCGTTTGGTTTTGGATAATCTAGAGATCATTATGCTGGCATTCGACGAAATCTGTGACGGCGGGTATGTATTCAAATCGTACATCTATTGAAAGTTTGCTTAAATGTTGTGTTTTTTTATTTGGCGTAGAGTTATCCTGGACGCGGATCCATCGTCAGTGGTTAAACGTGTGGACTTGCGCAACGATGACATTCCCATCGCCGAGCAGACCGTCGCGCAGGTAACTAATAAAATCAATGGACTATTTTGGTAGTACGACGTATTTATCGTATACCTTGTTATTAAAGAAAAAAAGAGCTCGAATTGCGCTTACATAGATTTTCAAACCTTCCCTTTTCGTCGTTTACCTAAATGTATTTGAAAAATCTCGAAATTATTGTACCAAATTAAAATATTTGCTAAGCAAATTTTTTCTTTAAATAATACCAGTTGTGTACGTATGTATGTAGTCTGTTGCAAATGTAAGTGCCTCGTAATGAATGCCAAACATTCAAGTAAACCCTCAGTAATAAGCGCTTAAGCATATATATGTATATACATTTATATCAGTGTATGTATAAGAAAACCTTAAAGCAGGTGTAAATGTACTCACATTAATATATTACTTTTTAGCTGATTCAAGAGTATATAAAAATAAAAATATGCTAAAAGTTAAATTGTATATTATTTTACTTTTAATTCGGTTGGTGTTTGTATGCTTTTTAATGTTTGCCTCATTCTCCACATCAGTATTGTAGAAGAAGCGGTTTTACGAAAATAAATATATTTTACCTCAGTTTTAAAATTAATTTATTCACAACTTTTTACCTTTTCTTTATGCCGAATACAGCTGCTAAAGCGGAAACATTTTATTGCAATTTAGAAGTGCTTCTCTATTGTTGTTAATATTGTTACATACTTTACGCCATTATTAAATAAATGCAACAAATTCAAGAAAATTTTACTTTTTTTTACTTACTACAAGAGTATTTAAATACTTAATATTACTCATATACTCAGTAAATATTTTCAAATATTTTGTATACATTGCATAACATTTTGTGATAAACTCTCATACCTTTACAGGTTTTGCAATCGGCGCGCGAACAGTTCAAGTGGTCCATACTTAAGTGAGCAGTGTCTATGAAGATCCGATGGGACAGAGGAGGCAAAACTCAAGTTTTATAACTATACACAATAATATACTAAGTTGACTTTCCAAAAGCGCAGTACATTCGATTTTTATTGTAATTTTAATATAATTTAATACCATATACAAAGAATATATAGCAAACTATGTCGACAAATGTGTGTGTTTGTAAATGCTGTTAAAGTTTTTTTCGATTTTAAATCATTCGGCTGATTTGTTAAAAAGAGTAAGCAATTCATTGGTTCATTAAGGTAAGTTTAAAGCAGCATACTTCTGGAAATAAAAGGGCTGTTGCATAAGTTTTACTGATAACTAGCATAATAGTTACCGTAGAATCGGTTTTAGGATTATAAAAATGTTTGTTTCATTTAAACGACCCACTCTAATGTTTATCGGTAATTTTGTATGTGCGTGTGTATATTAATGTGTTTGTTATTTCGAACAATTATAAGTGGATAAGCAGCGGCCGACACTCCTATTTATTTTTCCATTCAAAAAAGACATCGGTTGCCTAATGCGTGCTTATTGATACAAGTTTGGCCACACGCGAAGATCACGTGGCATTGCGATATTTTATCAATGCACGAAGTTTTCGCAAAACATTCATTACAGCATGTTCTATTCGTTTACATAATTTAGTTTCTTTTTTGTATTTATGAAACAAGCGTTATATAATACAATATAAGTATATATGTAAGTGTACCAGATTTGTGGGTTGTCATAATATCCATATGTGAATCACACATTGATCGTCTTCACATATAACAGTAGCTGAGCCGGCTTACTTTGTAGCAAATTCAGGAAATCAAAGATCAATATCGGTCCAATCATTATTGAGTTATAAATAGCGTAGCTAAAACGACTTTGTTTTATTTTTATGGACAATTTGATAGACATTTTCTATTTCTCTTGTTTGCCGTTATTATTTTATTACTAATAGGACTTTGTCGAGTGTCAATAAATTTGAAATAATCACGGCAAATTAACATTTTTTTAAACACTTACTTATGTATTTGTATGTATGTGTAAAGTCAGTCGTGTGGACACTCCTACACTGAACTATCAAACTAGCTAGGAAAATATCAGTTTGCAACTTGATTTTCCCGACTAAAATTGAACCAATGAAGGTGAAAAATACGAGACAGTCTGTTGTTGTTTTAGCCTGTACCTAAGCCCTGTTTGGAGGAAAGCTCAAAATAAACTCTTATCGAAATCACTCAGCGGTGGGTCTAGGAAATGGGCTGTTTCCACAGGGTTGCCACAAAGGGAAAGGGAGGGTTTGGCGGGGAATGCAAAGAGGTGGTTAGTGTCAAGCGGAGACTCTTTGCCTGCGGAGAATTCAGCCTGCTACGGTATCCAGAACGAAGTTGTGCAAATGTCCCTCTTTTAATGCACCAATTCGAGCTCGCGGTCTGCGATGCGTGGAGTTTCGACTCCAAAGACGCCATTCACTGGAAGGGAGTGAATGGCGGTGTTAATAGCTTCACTATGAATGGCGTTCAGTACATGTCTTAGGTTTCTCACGCCAGAAATTGTATCAGTATATTGTTGTAGCTTGTCGATGTATTGTAGAAACGTTCTCTTCATCGGCATCACGAGGCATCTTGTGATAGTCCGGAATGCGGTGTTGTAATATGTCTCTATCTTCTTCAGTTGCATCCTGTTGCATCGAGGCGATCATATTGGGGATGCGTAGTTTACGATTGGTCAACTGGATCTTGTTGCGGCTCCGTATTTTGGTAATGATCGCGTCAAACACATTCATCCAAAATTTTGGGGTTTTTTATTGTTGGTATTTTAACGTCATCGCCAAAAATTTGGAAGTCTTGTCTGTATTCCTCGGCCCAGTTGGTAAATGTAGTGGCTAGTCTTAAGCTCTTTGCAGTGAAGAAGAGAGAAAGGTCAGTCGGTTAACTAGTTAGGCTTCGGTTCATACTAATTGTAAAGTAGTTTATAATTTGTTGAATTTCTCTACGAGGTATATAAAATAAAGTAGCAGTTCTTCTTAAAGCCAATATCATGCTGTTGTTCTTGTTGTAGCGATACAATTCTGCCGAGTTGACAGTCCTTGGCTGGGTATAAATACGTGTCCGTTCCGGTTACGTAGACCCGGCTGTCGTTGGAACGGCTAATATCATGCTGCAGACTCTCTCTGTGTTCCTCAACAACGTCTATTACATAAAAGAACATTTCGCAAGCCACATTTAACTCGTTCTTCAAATTATCGACTCGAGGGGACGGATATCTGAATAATACAATATTGAAATAACCATCCAAGAAATTTAAAAATACACATTTAGCACGCAATATTTTTTATGGCCCTGTTACTGTGATACGGGTGCTGAAGATTTCGCAGTTATTAATAGCGCTGCGTCGTTTTAGTGGTCACGGAGCGACACAAGGCCCGCCCTATAAGAGCTAAAGATTAACGACTGCCGCTCATATACAAAAAATTAGGTAATCTCTTTCGGAATTCATTCTCTAGATTCGCTCTACATGTGTGTGTATTACTTAGCTGTTTTATATATACATAGGTATTTGACTTAACATTACTACGGCGTATTTCGGTTATAAATTTAAATCGTTATATGCTATAAATTTCTTTTTGAAAACTGGTAGCCAATGCGTTCGAGTGGCGAGGCAATTTTCTGATTAGCTGCTCAGCAAAGTGTTATAAAGTTCATTGGTTTGTGGGTGTGTACGTATTCATGTATGTATTGAAATTTTGTATGTACTGTTAGGCAAACCAAGCGGCAACATTCATATTTTTACATGTACCTACATATTTATATATACCTATCAACATACATATGTACTTACGTGCAACTGACTTTATATAACATGTTTAAACTATATGTAATCTCAAGTATCGATAAATCTAGTTTGCCAGAAGGAGTCGAAACTTTTATCGACTTACATGTACTTACAAGTATTTACGTTGACATAAAAGCGATTTAATCGGCGGCCTTCACAAGGTTCAAGTGTGCGGTAAATGTATCTACTTTTTGTGTCTGTCCGTATTTGCTCATACATGTGTAGATTGGCCCATTAAGTAATGGAGTCGTCACTTAAATACCTTTGCGAATGTCATTACATACGGTGTAAATATTTTTCATAGCTACAAAGTGTATCATGCAGTCTCATGGATATCGGTGAAATCTGAAAGACCCATACATATATACATATGTATGCAAGTTATGTAGAAGTGAGAAAATGATAGTGAAATCTATTAATGAAATGTTCTAACGAGCTAAATGATTGCCACTCGGCCATAATAAATCATTTTAAGTCTATAGGATCTATATTATTATTTGTTTTATTTATGATTCAACATTCTATCAGACGCTGTCACCGGTTTGTCAGAGTTATATAAGCCGCCAATGACTGGATGAATGTGAGAATTTATGTGCTACTACCGTTCTGTGGTCATTGTGCTCGTACCGAAGAGAACGAGAGTGAAATCAAATAATGTGGACATGCCCGACGGAAATTCCAATTTTTTGCAATTTTAAAACCTCTGACATGGTTAAGCTTCATGAAATTACAAGAACGATACCGAAGCTTTTGCTACAAATTATCTCAGCAAAATACCAGTTTAGATGTACTCGGTACCTTTTTGGAACTTCGATAACCACTATGAGGGCAGCACATAACTTCTTCATAAACTAATTTAAACTTAACAGAAATTATATTCGAATAAAACTGATCGCAAAATCCACGAAAAAGAGGGCAAAGAAAAACAATCGAAATAACATTAATAATAACAACAACTATAATACAGATTCCGAACTGAATGAAAACCGTTGTCAATTTTATTACGAAAATTCAGAAATAAAAAAGCAGAAACGCAATTGATGAGAAATCGCTGCTCGGACCATTGATTGCAATTTAGATAAAAGAGAATCTGTTGCAGCAAGCTTTTTGCAAAAAAAATTCAGTCTTTTGATTCGTACATGTGCAGAGTATGGTTCGAGTCGAGGTCGTGGGGATGATATATTTTCCAAAAAAGTGCATTCTAAGTACATGTGAATATATGTACGTAGTTAGCAGTGTCTGAGGCTATAAATACGCCACGAAAAATGACGATATTTTAAGATTTTTCTTTTCATTTCCTTTTTTGCAAAAATCATACAAGCACATACTTTTTATCGGGTTTTTCCAATCATTCTATTTCCATTACGTTCCGCACCGTTATCAGCGAGCGCGGCTGCGGAGGAATTACATGATCAGTGATAGTAGCGGTTCATTTAATAATATGTACGCATGTCCGTCTAATTTTTAGCTGACTATATCCAATTATGTGTCTTATTTAAACACCGTTTAACTGGTTATTTTTAGTTTTAGTTTAGGTTAGCCACGAGTTGGCGAAAAAAATTAAAAGGAAAAAAGAGAGAAACCTTTCAGGTGACAAATGACATTATCGCATTCATAGTTCTCTATCTTGAGCATGACCAATAACGGAGTGAGTCAGCTGACCACGAAAAGCTTCAAACCACTTCAGATCCGCACATACCTACATACATTCAAAAAGCGAATAAAAATGCAAATTTTTATGAAATCAACACAAAAAATTTAATTGTATTAAGACACCAAGTTCATCATTACCGTTATGTTTGCCAGTAATATGCTTCCTCGATTTCTCAGCATTATTATTGTTATTTTTTTTTGAAAATTAAGCTCAACCTTACCTTGTCAGATTTTTGAAATGGGTTTGGTGTTTTATTTATTTGAATTTCTGTGAAATACTGATTGTAAAATAATTTGCTTTTGTTATATGGCGGTGCAATTAAATGAATTTGTTGTCTCTAGGAAGAACATACCGTTATGTGTGCCTTTTGCAGGAGTTTGAAAACAGCTCAATTGCGTTACCGTTTTTACAAGCCGTTATAAACATAACATTCGCATATTGCCGAATTTTGTTTTCCAATCGAATTGATTTTTATTGATTATGATATCAGGAATCATATTACTCATATCATATTACAATAACACTGTCGAACAACTTATGGACTGATAAAGTGAATACTTCTGTATGTTTGTACCTACATATATGTTATATACAATGTAATTATAATTGGAGCTCGCACCGCAACATGTTGGCCGAGCTTCACT